AAAAATTTTTTTTTTTTTTTTTATTATTCCTTTTTTTTTTTTTATTTATTTATTTTTTCTTTTTTTCTTTTTTAATAGAATCAAATAAGAAATTATTCCCATGAATGCTCAACAACTTCTTTGACTCTTCTATTATATTCTTTACGATTTTCTCTAAACAGATTAGCAGCTTCGGCATTTGCCGGTGAATTTGGATTAGGGTCATGTAGTAAACTTTGAATACTTGTCAAGATAGCAGCGACATCATAAGTTGGTGACCATCTATTTTGAAGAATATCAAGACATAGTTCTCCATTAGCATACACATTTGGATGAAACATTTTTGAAATGAATTTAACCGAAGGAGGCTTATTGGGATAATTTTCGTCAAATTGGAGAGCCAATTTAAAAGTTCCGTCTTCAAATGGTGTATCGGCTAAGAAGGAGAAGAAAAAAAAGGAGATAGAAAAAATAGAAAGAATAAAATTAAAATATAGAAATATAGAAATATAATGTTTTCATAATTCAATAATTTGTCATCGTATTTTTGTATAATCGATATTTCAATAAATATAATAGATCATATAATCATTTTCTAAATAAAATAAAGATATCTCAATATAATTAACTCATAAATCACACATTATGTGGAGTTAAAACAACTTCTATTGAAAGAACTTTCTTGAAAATTAATCAGACAAGATAATTATTAAAAAGATTTTCCCGACTTTTAATGTTTTAAAAAAAAGTTGTCTGATAAAAAAAAGGGCAAACTAAAAGACAAACTATACAAACATACTGCAAATTTCTAAGTAAGAAAGTTTTAAAGATTATAAAAGGCAAATAATAAACCTTTTACTTACCAGGACCAAAGATGACAGCATTCCATAATAGAATATTATCAGGGCAAGGTGCTCCTGAGATGCCACCTGGAGGATCATTTTGAAGTCGTTTAAAGTCTCTCATAAGTCTACGACGCGCTTCAGTGGACATTTTTTAATTTTTTTTTGTAGGTTCAAATATGAAAAAAAAATTTAATAATTATAAACGGGGGCTTCAAAGGTTTGCTGTTTGTTCGTGAAAATTTGATCTGCGGGGTTTATAACTGAACATTCTGGCCTTATTATTTATATGCATCAAAAAACGTTACGCCATTTCCAGTCATGTGAATTATTTGATTAGAAATCTGTCTAGCCAATCAAAACTCAAGTTAAAAATATCGTGAATATAAACGCGTCAGAAAAATAAACAACCTTTAATAATTTATTTTTTATCCTTTTTTTTTTTTATATTTAATTTTAAAACAATGAGCTTCGAAACAAAAAATATTCGAGAAAATATTTCGTTAAAAGGTTCTACCAAGATAGTTGTGGAATTCTTTGGTAATTTATAACTTTTTAAATCTATGCTATAAATTTTTTATTTTATTTTTTTTTTTAAGCGTTCGAAATTAAACTTTTTATTTACTTTATATTCAAAAAAAGAATTTGCGCTGAATAGGTAAATTTATTCATTACCTTTTTTTTTTTTATAAACTTATGGTTAATAATCCTTAATACTATTAAAATAAAAGTATTCTATTTCAACGTGCCATATATCCTCCGGAGGATTTTAAAATGGTAAAGAAATACGGACTCAATGTTCTGGTAACAATTGATGATTCTTTAAAATCTTATTTGAAAAAACTTTTAACTCAAGTAGAAGGTACGTTTTGTTGATTTTTTCGTGTTTTCTTAACTATCCATACCTTTTAATTAATAATTTCTTGGGACAGTTTGGATAAATGCTGGAAAAATTAGCAAACTTATATTAGCAATCATGAATGTCGAAAATCGTGAAATTCTTGAACGATGGCAATTTGATATACAAATCATCGATGAGGAAAATAAAGAAAATAAGGGACCGTATGTATTATATATATAAAGTTTGCTTTATTTTATTAATTTTTTTTGTTTATGAAAATCAGAGGTGGGGGAAAGAAACAAAGAACCGATCAAGAAATAAAAAATGAAATTCAAGCAATTATTCGTCAAATTACGGCCAGCGTTACATTTTTACCTGTACTGGAAGATGAATGTACGCTTTTTTTTTTTTTAAAAAAAAAAATGAATTCTGAATTTTAAATTTGTAATCTATAATTTATATAGGTACGTTTAATATTCTTGCATTCACCGACAAAGATGCGGAAGTACCAGCTGAATGGGATGACTCAGATCCACTTATTATTCAAAATCCTGAATACGTTAGGTTGAGATCTTTTTCAACCAAAAATCACAAAGTTGATGCAATCGTTTCGTATCGTTTAGGTTTTTATGATGACCCAAAACGATGAATTAGATAGCAATATAACGTGTATTACGTGCGAAGCTTGAAAAACGCTTTTAACAAGGTTTGAATTTTATATGTATAAAAAAAATAATAATAAAAATTGTTTATTAATTGAATTTTTTTTTACTGTAGTTAAATAAACAATTTATTACAACGAAGAATTTTAAATTATATTTATACAAAATTTTTTAAGAATAAATAGTCAAACAGTTTAGGTAGTCATGGATAGGATCAAGGATTAAATAATCTTTGTTACTTTGTAAGAAAAAATTTAAATGACTCATCCTATAACTCTGCAACATGAGGTAAATGGTCCAAATTTATTAAAAAACGATTTTTTTAGAATTCCACATAAAAATATTAAGTATGGCTTGTAAATCTATCCTAACAGTTAAGTATTTTTCTTAAATATTCCCACTTTCATCACTTTTTCTACCACACGGTAAGTCAGACTAACTCTTGTACTCCTTTCCAGAATTGCGTCTCTATTCACATCATCCGATAAATTCATTATATTCTTTTGGCTCAAATTATCAGACTTTCTTTCTTCGATTCCGTGTAAATAAGTTTTATACAAATCATCTTGAAGTACTAAGAGACTAATATACAAAATGATGCGTTTATAATTGAAATTTTTACAATGATTAAAAATTTAATGTTACCTTCGAGGTTCAAGAAGTAAAGAAAATTCTGGTATAAAGTTTGTCACATTTTGTTCCAAGTTTAATTCCTCAGTACGACGTTTATATAAATCAAGAATAGTATATGAATTTAGTGAAACTGTTGCCACTGTAGGATAATAAAACGGACCATCCTCATGTGGCTTCAAAAAATTCAATTAAAAATTTTTTAATCGGTCAAATAGTAAGATAATCTAAGATAATCAAATAATACAATATCTATCAAAATTCATATTCACTCACCATAATACCCTGACCAGATTCGTATTCATTAATTAAACAATGATTTGGCAATTTAAATTTTGAGCAATTATTAAAAATTTCAAGTTGTGAGAATTTACTAAAAATAGAATCTTTTAACCATGATGGAAGTGGTTCAGCTATCATACCACGTTCCGTTGGTTTACCACCTAATAAAAAATACATATGAAGATTAAGCAGTGTCATCATTATTAAAAAGAGAAGCATAATTATTTTTAATTCTTTTTACCCCAATTCTGAAGTCTGTACAATGATATCATATTTTTTTTTCGAGTTTTTTTTTTAAAAATAGATCAAATTAAAGATTTTCCTTTTTTTCATGTGTTTGGAACAAAAAAGAAAAAATAGGAAAAGAAAACCTTCGATTTTTCAGAGTGACCCATTTTGGTTTTGGAGCTGAATAAACCTAAATGATTAATTAATAATTATTGATTATAGGTATGAATTAAATTAATAAATTAATTAATCGGTTTCTTCATTTTCATACAAAATAAAAATATATATATATATATATGTAAATACCTTATTTAAAAGTTCTTGTTCTTCTTTTTCTGATATAAAATCTCTTATATAAAAACCACTATCTGGAATATTTTCTATTTTAAAATCTTTTAAATTGACATTATCAAAATCGACCATATTCGACCGATCTCTAAAAAAAAAAAAATAAATAGATAAAAATTTTTTTTTTTCCACAAAAAAAAAAAAGGAAAAAAAGAAATTTTTTATGGATTACATCATCATAATGAAACAATGGATCATGGTGATGTATTTGATTATGTCAGAATATGGTTCAATAATATTCAATTAATTATTAATTCTGAAAGAACCGTATCACAAAATCCCGTATAGGATGTGATTAGCAAGTATCTCTATCTTAGAATCTTTGAGTAACATCGACGATTATCGTTCATTATCGTTCGACCATAATATCGACATGTTCGTGATTTTTTTTTAACGTTTTAACGAATCATGGACTAATTATAACGATAAAATCACAAACACAAATACCAGTAAGAGATTGGAAATCAAAAGGAAGCATCTTTATCTTTATTAAAGGAAAATGTATCTAATTTGAAAATCAATTTTTACAAAAAAAAAGGGTTGAATTTGAAAGAAAGTAAGTAAGAAAAAAAAAGAAAAGAAAAGAAAGAAATAAAAAAAGAAGAACTACTCCTCCATCCTTTTCTCAACAAAAAAAAAAACCTATCAAAATTTTTTTTAAAAAAAACCTCTATTGAATTTGAATCATTTAAAATCAAAAAATCTTTCAGTTATTTCAGTTATTACAGATAATTTAAAAAAATGAGTTATTACTAATAAATTTATTATTTTCTTTTTTTATAATAAAATGAAACAAAGTACTCGCCGAATTTAAAATGTATTTTTATAAATTGTAAACGTGGCGTAAATCACCATAAACGCGGTTTGCAAATTGCAGGTCTATAATAATAATGTCGTAAATTGTAATGGTTAAAAAAGTGTTAACTGGAACGTATATTACCTTTTAAAGGAGCTTTACATATAAAAACGGTACTGTAAGTCTGTAACATGAAACTTTAAAATTTTAAATTATGAAAAAAAAAGTCAAAAAAAGAAAGAGAAAGTCAAAAAAGAAAGAAAAAAAAAAAAAAAAGAATAATAATAGTAAGGTAAAAATGGTTCAAATCGAGATAAACAAAAAATTGAGATCAAAATGAGATTTCATCAATCTCATGGGGTTTGAACGAATAGCAAATAGTTGAACGAATTTGAAATTGTGATATTATTGTTGGATGGAAGCCCAACAAAAAACATGAAAAAGGATTGATAGAAGGGTTGACAGATTACATAATTAACATTTTTGGAAATGTTTTTCGTCATCGTGCAGATTTTATCACGTTCTTCATTATCTCAGCAAGTTTCAATGATATATTTACGCATGTAAATTCCATATAAGTAATAATCAGCAAGACTTATATAATCAAAGATCGACGAAAATTTTTACAAAAACTTTACGCAGTAATGTAAATCGCAACAAAAAGTTTATACAGTATATCTCTTTGACTCTTATCTATTATGATTAATGAAAAATACAATGAAAATTGAAAATCTGATTGTTTTTTTTTAAAGTTTTTACGATACCAATGAATGATGCATTTACATATTAGATTGTATATCATATTTAACAAATGAAAATAAAAAAAGTAACACAAACTATTTTAAAAAAAGAAAAGTTTTTTATGTTCTCGCGTAAAAAAAGATTAGCGATTCATTCAATTTAATGATTCTATAACAGGATTTTTTATCTTTTTGTTCTAAAAAGAGAATAACAAAGAATTTTGTTTATGCGATGCAAAAGAAAATCTTTTCAAAAAAAAACTTGCATCAGAACTTACCATCTTTATTTTCAATGAAAAAATACCCAAATTTTCTTTAACCCACTTTTTTTGATATTTGTAACACCACATTTTTATACAATTTTTTTCAAATATAACAATATAACGTAATACAAACAATGAAATTGGTTCTATACACGACATACAACACGTGGTCGCGTGATTTCTATAATATAGGGAAAAGTTGGAAAGTTAATTCTCAAAATTCTATTATTTTCATCATCATCTTCTCGTATGTAACCACCCCGCAGTTTTTGCAGTTTTCCTAAATAATTATGTCATGTCAAAATCTTTCTTTGAATGATCATTTTTTTCAATTTCTTCTTTTATACATCTGTCGGAATTTCCTCACAATTTCATTGGAAGTTCAGAAATGGAAAATAACGCCATATTGCTGTTTTTATGTATTTTTTTTTTCGAACTTCTTTATTTATAGAAAAAGAATACGTAATGTACGATGACATAAATTACGTAATTTTTAATTTCATGTTTCTTTATCTTTTTTTTTTTTGCTTGCATTTTTTTATTTCCCGCTTGTTCGGTTCAGCCAACTCATAAGAAAAAAGATTATATTTCGCGTATTCAAACATCGGCATTATTCCGAATCAATTAGTTTAAACCAGAATACATAAAAAAAGGGGTCTTTTTCGTTGTTTCAATAAAGTCTCTTTTTTTTTTTTTTTTTTTTTTTTTTTTTT